ACCGGGCAGTGTTGGGCTGCTCAGAGCACAGGATCACATCCCTGCTCTGTTTGCATCCTTGGGGGCAGCTGCAGGCTGAAATGCCCCCATCAGCAGGGAAATAACCTGCCAAAAGCAGTGGAGTGCTGGGGAAGAGGGAGCTTGCTTTGGGCAGCTCAAGCTGTTCTCGTTGTTGCCTGGATTTTTCCCTTTGTTTGGCTTTGCAGGAATGGCTGCAGCCGCTTTCTGCTGCCCCTGGGCTCAGGAAAGGGGATTTAAAATGAAACAACTGCACCAAAAACTCTGCCCAGCAGGAAAAGCAACCCACAGGGTGCCAGAAATTCAATTTCAACCTCTGCTGCAGTGACAGAGGAGAGAGAGATGCAACAAAATCCTCTCATTGGAACAGAAGATGAAAAAGCCACCCCAAAAATCCCTTTTTCTTTAGAAGGCAGCAGCAGTGGGTCAGGTTGTGTCCTGTTTGTTATTCCTCACTGGAGGGCAGCTGAGGGGACAGGGGGGGCTCTGTGGTGCTGAGCCCCAGTGTTTGGTGTTCAGGAGAAGCAGATGCACCCCAGGGTTGCAATTCCCAAACCAGGGCTCCTTATCCTGGGGCTGCCAAATCCCAGGGACCCCATCCCAGCCCCTGCCAGGTTGGGAGGCAGAGAAGGCCACAGGAACAGAGCTTGCTTGGCCAACAGAACACCTGGGTGCTGAAAAGCAGGTGAAACAAAGCTTTTGTGGCTCAATAGAGATGCAAATTCTGATTAAAAACTGGCCCAACATCAGGTGAGAGGTTCTTGGCTGCCTCTCTGTGTCCATCTCCTCCTCCTTTGGCTGCTGCAGCTCCTCCAGCACAAATCCCTGGATGTTCCTCGGGATGTTCTGTGCTCTGGGGGGTGTTCCTGACCCCCTGGATGGGGCTGGAGGCCACCAGCCCCACATGGGACATCACAGCCCCACCCCACGGGTCCCTGTCCCCCCAAACAGCCGTGCCAGGGTCAGGAGTTTCCCTTTGATCCAGCCCTGAGCATGGCAGGAGCTGTTTGCCTTTACCTTGGGCACCAGAGCTGCTGGGGTTTTGGTGTGAAGGGCAGGATTTAAGGTCCTGCCAAGGATTTGGGGGAGAAAAGGCAAAAAGAGGGGGTGATGGCAGCTCCTGGCTCTGGGAAAATCCCTTCCCAAGGAGGGAGGGGGACAGGCAGGGCCCTGGGAGCCGGGCTGGCCTCTTGTGCTCTGGCTCTCAGCAGAGCAGAGGGGACCTCAGCCTGCCTAAGCTCTTCCAAATGTGATCTGTGCTCCAATAAAATAAACATTTTAGGGAAAGCCAAGCCCCAGGCACACATTTTGGCAGCTGATCACTCCCTAATTGCAGGAAGAGCAGTTGGGAGAGGGGTTTTTTTTTGGTTTTATTTTTTTTTGGTTTCTGATGAGAAAACTGGGCTGGAGGATCAGAGTTGAAATTTCTCTCCCCACATCTCCCCACCCCTAAAAATCCTGGGGTTTTCCCTTTTGTATGAATGGAATTCAACTTATTTCAAGGAACAGGAAACACAAAGAGCCTCTGCTAAGTGTGAACCTCAAACCCTCAGCGAGGGCCTGGGTACAGGGAGTTCTCCACGAATTTTTTCCTGGATTTTTTGTTGTTTGACAACACCAGGGGCAGATTTGAGGGCTGGGAGAGGATTTTGGTGAATTGGAGCCATTGCCTCTCAAGTCTGGCTGTTCCTGGGTGTTTCCCCCATCCCAAAACTCCTGGGGCTCTGGAAGGGGATGGAGATAATAATTAACACCAGCCCCAATTTCCATCAACGTGGCAAAACTCAGTTTGTGGTGAGGGGGCAGAGCAGCAGCAGCCACACTCTGCCCTCACTTTTGGGGTCACATCCAGCCTGGTAATGGGGCCACTCCTTCCAAAAATCAAACAAAGCACCAACAAAGCCAAAGGGAGAGGCTGGAATTATGGATTTTAGGGAAATCTCCATCCTGCTTTTCCAGAAAAGTCCAGGCCAGCACTGCTGTTCTCCATCACATCCCTCTCCCTTTTCTTTTTCCTCCTCCTCTTGCAGTTTTTTACACATGTTGGCAGCCAGTTGGGTGTTTTTATGAGCGAATTATTGGGAATTTCTTTTCCTGTGGCCTCTTCCCCTTGGATACTGAGGGCTGCAAATGGATTTAAAGGTCCTTTTCCCAACCAGCCCTGCTTCCTCTTTCCTTAGTGGGGAGTTGCTCATGTAAATCCAACATGATTTGGGTACTTTTGTGTCTACCCAATCATAAAAGTCCCTTTCCAAGAGCCTTTCCTGCCTTTTTTCTCCCTCCTGTGCTAGAGCCTGAAGAAAATGCTGTTTGTTTTATGGCAAACTCTCATTTATTGTAACACAAATCCTTCTTTCGGGCCAATTCTCTTCCAGGGAGTCATTTCCAGAAGCAAGGAGCCCAACATGTTTTCCTTTGAATTGCTGATTGCTTTTCTCTGGGCATTTGTGCAAATTGCCTCTCTTGCAAAACCCAGGTTCTATCAGCTGCAGCTCCTTATTCCTTATTCCACTGGAGGAGAGTTTGCTGGGAAAATTCCAGTAATTTCTGTATAAAAACAGAGGTTTGGGAGCAAATTGTGTCATTGGGAGGGTGATATAAATACATTTTATTTTGGGGAGGATGGGATAGGAAAATGGAGCTCTCCAACAGCAGGAGATTTACTTTTTTTTTTTTTTCCCCACTAAATTAAATAGAGTTATAATTATAGCAAAGCATTTTGATTGCTCCCAAGGGGTATTTTTAGCATTTTGTTTAGCAGGAAATAAAAACAAATTTTGGGGGGGAATGATGGTTCTGAAACAGAGCAAGGAGCTTTCCCTTCCCTCCCCATCCCAACCTGCATGCAAATGAGCTGCATGCAAATGAGCTCCATGCAAATGAGCTGCTAATTGTCCCTGCTGGAGACATCGATAGGTGGGGATAACAGAAAAATCCAATTTCTGAGCTTTTATGGGCTCCCTTTGCTGAGGGACACGGAGGGGCTGTGGCACAGGGGGACAAGGGAGGGTGGCATTGCCATGGGACCATCCTGGGGAAGCCTTCCCGGGACAGGGAGGCCAGCACGACCCCAGACCCTGATCCTGGGTGACACTGTGAGGTGACCCTGCTCTGGGGGGGGACATTATGAGGTGACACTGCTCTGTGAGGTGACACTGCTCTGTGGGGTGACATTTTTGGGTGACATTGCTCTGTGGGGTGACACTGCTCTGTGGGGTTTCACTGCTCTTGGGTGACATTATGAGGTGACATTGCTCTGTGGGGTGTCACTGATCTGTGGGGTGACACTGTGGGGTCCCTGCTCTGTGAGGTGACACTGGAGGGTGTCCCTGCTCTGTGGGGTGTCCCTGCTCTGTGGGGTTTCACTGCTCTTGGGTGACATTATGAGGTGACACTGCTCTGTGGGGTGACATGGCTCTGTGAGGTGTCCCTGCTCTGTGGGGTGTCCCTGCTCTATGAGGTGTCACTGTGGGTTGTCCCCTCTCTGTCCCTGCTCTATGAGGTGACACTGTGGGGTCCCTGCTCTATGGGGTGACACTGTGGGTTGTCCCTGCTCTAAGGGGTGACACTGTGGGGTGTCCCTGCTCTATGGGGTGACACCGTGGGGTTGTCCCCTCTCTGTCCCTGCTCTCCAGTGTCCCCTTGTCCCACAGGCCTAGCTGAAGGCTCTCTTGCTGCTGGGAGTGGCCAAGCCTCACCCAGATAAAATTCCCTCTCCGTGCTGTTTGTAGCTGGAGTTTTGGGCTCCACTCCGTGTCTGCCCCCATGCAGGGGCTGCTTTGGGGTCCCTGTGGGTCCCCTCCAGCCCAAACCATGCCATGGATCCATGGATTCAGTACAGAGCTCTCAGCCACAGCTGCTCACTCTGACCCTTCTGCTGGCCAGCATTTCTGCATTTCTGCATTTCTGCATTTCTGCATGGAGACCTCCCAGGAGCCCTGGAGCCCCAAATTCCATTTTGCCATCCAATACCCCTGGCATGGAGCTTGGTGTGGAGCCAAGGGAAAAACAGGGATTTGGGGATTTGGAGATTTGGGAATCCAAATCTGTGAGAGCACAGGAGGTCACTGTGGGGATTCTGCTGCCATAGGAACAATTTTAGCTTTCCCTCCAGGTTTGCTTTTAAGATGCTTCAAAATTCCTGTGCTGAATCCAAGGAGCAGCCCAAATGTGTGGGGATTTTTTAAGGAGATGCTGTTTAGGGCTGTGATTCCCACAGAGCACTCCCAGCAGCCACAACAGTTTTATAAACACATTAAAGTTAATTTGGATGTCCCATTTCAGGGCCAGGCTGAGCAACCTGTCCTTCCTACCCTCCAAAACCCAGCACTTGGCAGGAGGAGCAGGCTGGAATTTGGGCAGCACAGGGAAGATGTTGCAACAGGGATGTGTGGAGTTTATGACATGAAAAGTGCAAACCTTGGCAAAACTGGGAAGGCTCTTGGAACAAGAAGAGAGCACAATAATTAATCCCCACTGGTGCTTTCTTAACAGCAAAGACTTAGGAATTTTTAATGAATTTGTTGGTAAGCTCAAAAGGAGCTTTAAAGTTCCATATTTTGAAATTTATGTATTTTAAAAATCCTCTTTACCCTGAGAGTCTCTGAGGAGGGAAGTCTTCCCAAGCTGTGGGGAACAGAGGCTTTGAATTGTGCTGTTTATAAACCCTTCTTTATAAACCTTTGTGACCACAGAGCTGGGGCAGCTCAGGAACAATTTTACACACTGGGTGTGTATAAAATTCAGTCAAAAAAAAAAAGAAAAAAAAGAGGATGATCCCAAAGGAGGAGTTTTCTGGTTCTAAATTTTGAAGAATTTGGCAACTCCGATTCTGGTCACTCCATTTGGGTGAATTGCAGAATTTTGATTGCTCCTCAATCTCAGTCAGTCCACAGCCAATTTATTTATTTATTTATTTATTTTTAAATCCTACCATGACTTTGGATGTTCTCAGCCACAGCAGTGCCCACAAAGTCCTTGATCTCAGGGATTTCCCATGGCTGGAGGTTGATTTGAGCTCCTTTTGTCCCCTGAGAATTCAGTCTTTCAGCAGCAGGAAGTGTCCTCAGATCCTGCATTAAGAGGGGTGAAAAAAGAGCATTTCATTCTCATTTCTGTTTTATTCATCCTCATTATATGGATATATTTTAATATATATAAATATAATATAATATATATATAAATATATATAAATATATTTTAATATATATAAAATATAAAATAATACAGGATATTCAATATACAATATGTTATTATCTAAGTCACATTCCCTCTTTCAGCTAAATAATTGTATTTATTTGTCTTGATTCCTCCTCTGAGGGTGAGGATTCTCAACCCTTTACTCAAAATTATCACTGAATTTGCAGCATTTGTTTGTATTCCTTCCTTTCCCAAATCTCTACTCCAGTGTTTGACTGCCATCATTTGGAGCAGGGATTTTGAAAAAAGACTTTAATGCTGATCCTTGCTACCACCATTATTTCAGGACAAATCTTTTATCTCAGGATTTTACCTTTTTTTTTGTTGTGTTGGATTTTTTTGGGTGACTCATTACATCCAATAACGTTTCACTGACATTTTCATGAATACTTTTCTCACCAGGTGTCTCTACAAATTCCTTGCTGTAATTCCTCACTCTCTGGGGCTGCCTCTTCATTTTCCCTGAGCTGTTCCTTTGCAAGGAATTGGGCTGAACATCCCAATTTTCCTGCAGAACACGACACAAGTCACGATTTGTGCAGTGCTTGAGAGCAGTGCCATGAATTTAAAGCAGGAGGAAACCCCTTTCTTTTCATTCCCTTTGATCTAAACATCAATATTCCTGTTTATGACAACATTTTCTGATCTGATTCCATGGCACAGAGCTTGCAGCTCAGCGTGAGCGTGGATAAATCAGCATCCTGCCAGTGTGGGAGCTTAGTGAAGGGCTCTAGTCCCAGTCCTGGTGTTATATTGGGCAAAACCCCAGCTGGGGGGGAAAAAAAATCAGTGTTTTCCCTATGGAACAGCCTTGTAAAATGTGAGGATGAAACCAAGTGGGTGTAACTGATCCCCCACTGAAGCTCAGAGGGATTTGTTTAATGGTTAAGATTTTCCTCCTGAGATTTGGGGCCAACTTCTCTGGCAGGGCTGGGAGCTTTTCCAGCTGTTTGTTGACATAAATTTCCCTCTTATTACCATGCTCTGGCTCAGAACAGCCACGGGACTGGTTGGATGCAATCCTGTTTGGGGTTGGTTTGCTTGGTTCCCCAGGGACAGGAGGGCAAAGCCTCCCCCAGGAGCAGCCCAGGCCACTCTGACCTGGGGCTTCAGGAGCCCTTGGTGCTCAGCAGCAGGGTGGGAAGGCAGTGGGCACAAGAGAATCAATCTGTTCCACTGGCATCTGCTAAATCAGGGGGAAAGGATGGAACCCCAGGGAGAAATCCCCTTTTCCTGCCTGGCAGAAATCCCATACATGCTCTGAGGGAAAGAACAGACGTGCAGCAATACTGAAAGCAGCAATACTGAAAGCAGCAATACTGAAAGCAGATAAAAATAGGGAAAGAAAAAAACAAAAGAGCTGTCCTGAAGCTGTCCCCATTCCCCCTTTGTTATCTCCTTAACTTTGCTTATTTAAAGGCACACCAGACATCCCACAGGAAAAAATGGATAAAAGCAGGATCAAGCCCTGGTTGTCATGCTGATAAATGGTTATCACTGATTCACAGGGCTACTCTGTGCTGCTTTGGTGTTGTATTGCACTAAATTGGACTGCAAGACAAGAGGAATTTGGGGTTTTTTTCTGAATAAAACTTGTAACTGAAGCATCATCACCTTGGTCCCACATGGGGCTGCTCCCAAAACGTGATGTGGCTGTAGATATCCAAGAGAAGCAGCTGCCAACACCAGGTTACAGCTCTGCATGTGGAGTAGCTCTGGATTTAACTGGCACACAATTGATGGGCATGGGTTTTGGGGTAAAGCTCCCATTTCCCCCCTTCTTTGGAATCTCTGGGCAGTCATCCCCCATGGGCAGCTTGGAAAAAACTCTCCCAGAGGGGCCAGGGCAGCAGCATCACAGAATTCTCCACAGCATCACAGTCCTTGGGCAGCTCAGGAGGCACCAGGGGCCACCAAGCTGACACAGCAGGCACAGAGCTCCTTCCACCCCCTCAGGCATCCAGGACAATGCATGAACAAAACACCCTCAGCACCTGGCTTGGCAGCAGGGCTTTGCTGGAGATAAACTGACCTGTGAAACTGCAGCCTGGCTCTGAGATTGTGAGAATTAATGCATTTATCTGAGGGTTAATGTATTTATCTGAGGGTTCATGTATTTATCTGAGGGTTTCTTGTAGGGTTCATCTCCTCTAGAAAGGGAGAACAGGTCTCAGTGGCCATGAGATCAAACCACCCTGCAGGTGTCTGGGCTTCCTTTGCTGAGCTTGGGGTCTCAGTTTCCCACCTGTGCAGCTGAGAGGACCAAAAACGTGTCCTCCTGCTCAAAGAGCTTCCTGGTGGGAAATGTCACCCAGCAATTCCTGCCTGTCTCGTCAGGGGCATCCTCACCCTTGTAAAAGCAGCAGGAAAGGCTCAGAAAAGCCAGGATAAACTCTTTATCCCAGGGCTGGTAAAAATGGGCTTGGCACTGCTGAAGGATGGGGTTGGAATGTGGGCTGCTCATGGAACAGCCCTGGAATGGCTCTGTGAGCCCCAGCAGCACAGACACCCTGGAGAGGAGCTGCTGGATGGGACAGTGCCCATTTCTGACCCACAGACAGGGCAGCTGAGAGGTTTTAAAAACTCTGATTCCATTTTCAGTCTCATGAGAAGGGTGAGACAATACAGGTGTTCTAATTGACACCATCACAATCAGAAGGCAACTATTTTTAATTCCAATACATTATAAGCATTTCTTGGCCTAGCAGCTTTTTGCTGTGCCATTCTTTAAAGCCAGCAATCTAAAATTGCCCCTCTGTGGGTCCCACTCCAATGCATCTTTCATAGTTTATTTCTCCAAAGTATCTGGTCTGATTTGCAAGGCCATCTTTTGAAACTTGTTTCTAGTTCCATTTCTCTCTCAACAATGTCTGCCCTATTCCATGGCATTTCTAAGTCAGCATTTCTTATCTCAGGGTTTGCACACTGCGTGGGCCTTGTGTCAGCCCTGAGAACTCTCCACAACCCCATTTCCCACAGTTCTCCATCCATCCCAGCTGAAATCCTCCACAAAACCTCTCCAAAATCCTCCACAAAACCTCTCCAAAACTTCTTCTTGGACAGTACCCTTTGCCTGCCCCAGGGATGGGGCAACTGAGAGGCGTTTTGAAATCTTTTATTCTATTTTTGGTTTCATGTGAAGGGTGAGACAACACAGATGTTAGAATTCATATTATCACAATTGGAAGCTGACTATTTCCTAATTATAATATAATTATAAATTATAATACATTACATAACTTTCTACAAATCCATTTCCCACAACTCCTGTCCTTGTCTGTGGGTTCTCTGTATTTATTTTCTACCTCTGTCAAGGTTGGGATTGAAGGCACTTGAGGTGGTATTTCATATTTGGACTCAGGTGTTTATTATTTCTTATCAGTGAAACAGCTTCACAACCATGAGTTCTTTCATTAGCAAGGCACAAAATGGCAAATTGTCTCTTGTTATGAGGTCTTTTAAGACTAAACTATCCAATTAAGAAATGACACCGAGATTATTTTCCCTTTTAACCCAATAACTGATCCCTCAAAGCCCACAGTGTGGACTTTTCTGTCTAATTACAAACCACCCAAACCCATGAAGAGGAAGGTAAAGAAGAGCAACTTGTGTCTGCTCTGAAACTTCTATCTTGCTTCATATTTATTTCTAAATTCTAAAACCCCAAACTCTCAAGTTTTCCACCCTGTGGTATTACAGGGTAGAAACATGTAATAACCAACTCCACACCTGTAATCCCAGTGCTGTTAAATCAATTTTGGAAGCCTTCTCCACACCTCAGGTCAAGTGCAGTGTTCTCTGGTGAGTCTGTGCCTTTCAGCACACAAAGTTCCAAATTCTCACATCCAGGATTCCCACACTTCCCTGTCAGCAGCTCTGCCCCCAAGCAGAGCCAACCCCATCCTCACTTGTCTCTGCTCTGAAACTTCTACCTTGCTTCATGTTTATTTCTAAATTCTAAAACCCCAAACTCTTAAGTTTTCCACCCTGTGAGATTAGAGGATGGAAACCTGCAATAACCAACTCCACACCTGTGATCCCAGTGCTGTTCATCAATTTTGGAAGGCTTTGCACACCTCAGGTCAAGTGCAGTGTTCCCTTGTGGTTCTCCTGACATTCCCTTGTGGGTCTGTGCCTTTCAGCACACAAAGTTTCAAATTCTCACATCCAGGATCCCACCCTTGCCCTCTCAGCAGTGCTGCCCCCAGGCAGAGCCACCCCCATCCTCACTTGTCTCTGCTCTAAAACTTCTACCTTGCTTCATATTTATTTATATTGTAAAACCCCAAACTTCTAAGTTTTCCACCCTGTGATCTTACATGGTGGAAATAACCAACTCCACACCTGCAATCCCAGTGCTGTTAAATCAATTTTGGAAGCCTTCTCCACACCTCAGGTCAAGTGCAGTGTTCTCTGGTGAGTCTGTGCCTTTCAGCACAGAAAGTTCCAAATTCTCACATCCAGGATCCCACCCTTGCCCTGTCAGCAGCGCTGCCCCCAAGCAGAGCCACCCCCCATTAACCCCATCCTCGCCTCCCCTGCCTGCAGCTTGAAGGCCGTGCTGATGGGGAAGCCCCAGGACAACACCGTGGACTTGTCGGGGATCCCGCTGACCCTGAAGGACCTGGAGAGGGTCACGTCGTACCTGGAGCACAGCTCGGAGCACATCGACACGGTGGAGCTGTGCTTCACCGAGCTGACGGACGAGATGCTGCTGCAGCTGCTGCCCGCCCTCTGCGGGCTGCCCCGCCTCACCACGCTGGCCCTCAACGGCAACCGCCTGACCAAGGCCATCCTCAGGGACCTCACCGAGACCCTCAAGGACCCCAAGAAGTTCCCCAGCGTCACCTGGATCGATCTGGGCAATAACGTG